CAAGGCAAATTTGCCTGACGTGACTGATGAGTTGACTCGTCTGGAGCTTCACGTGCCTTATCGTTTTCTTTAAACAATGTTTGTTTTATTTGTATGGCTTGGAGTACCTCTGCACGACTCCTTTCAATGAAATTATCTACTTTTATTGCTGTTACTAATTGCTCTTTTGACCTTGAATCTTTAATGTCAGACTATCTCTTTCGGGTCAAGGATAGAATTATGTCATAAAGCATTATCTCTTAATCGTCTAAAAAAAAAGGATAATGAATGCATGAATCTAAATGCTAATTGGCTCTACAGGAACCATAGACTCTCCTAATGGTTAACCTTTGGATAAAGCATTAACCCTCATCTCAAATTGCTATAAAAGGAGGACATTGGCTTTGCTCAAATGCATCCCTCTCTATTCGCCAATGGCTCCTAAAGTTTCAATCACCAAGAAAGCATCAAGAAGAACCCGAGCTCATCCAGAAGAGGGTGAACAAGGCAATCATAATCTCGGGAACAATCCTATTAATCCTCTGAATATCTCATCCGACTCAGAAAGTGAGGACTTTGATGAACTCATCAAAAGATGTGCTGAAGAAGATGCCAGATCCTTTGATCCCAATGAAGAACCCCTCTAATTGTTAGAAAGGGCTTCTTGACACTGGAATCCTGGAACGATCCCACTATGGACAGAGATCTCAGGGAGTATTATCAAACATATAACTGCAAGACTGAGCTTGTAGGGTACATTGAAGGAGAATCTGATGAGGAAATGTATCCTCTCGGTGGACCATCTCGTCCAAAAGCCCCTACATCAAAGAAAATTCCTAAGGTCACTAAGGGCGAAACCAGCAAGATAGGGAAAGGAAAGGGAAAGAAATGAAAATCTTGCTGTTATTTGTTCAATAATTGTCCTTAATTCTGCATTTATGTTCATCCATGTCTCGTGCTTTTATTAATGAAGATTTTCTGGCATAAATTTCTGATTGTCTGATATTTGCATACCTTGGAATCATCTCACTGACCTTGAAATCATGGTATTCTTGAAAATATCCATTCCAAGTCTTCTACGACATTAATGGTCAGTTGAAGAAACATATGGTCATTAATTACAGCATTGAATGTTGTGGGTAGTTTCACATCAATATCTCTTCACGCTATACCTATAAAAAGGGGATATATCTCACTCTTCTCATCATCTTCAAAAATGGCCCCTAAAAAGCCTTTTACAAGGGGAGATTCTCGCAAACAGAGAGAACTCCCCAGATAAGAGAAGAACAGGGAGACATGTATCCTGGCAATAGCCTTCAAGCAACCTTGGAAGTCTCCTCCGACACCGACTCATCATCTCAGAATGATGAGATGGCTGGCTTCATTGTTGAGGAAACCGAGGAAGCTCCTCCGGAAGCGGTAGTGCCTCAACAACAGAAAAGCACTGCTGGTCTGTCCAACAAGCATTGTGACAAAGATTATGCCAACTATCTCAATGCAGAATCCAAATCTGAGAGTAAAGAAGAACCCACTTCGTCCTCGGACTCTAACTTTCTACGTACCAGAAAATGGTACAAAAGAATGTGGGCAGAACTCAAGAAGCCGAAAGCTGAGACTCCTGAGGAAAAGGCAAACGAGAGGAAGGAAAACTAATCTTTTGGATTATGTATCTTATTTCTATATATGTCTCTCTCGTTTGGTTGAATAATAAAATCTTGGTGTCAATGATTTTAGTTTAATCTTAATCAAGTGATGAACGAAACTTTAGTTGTTTCTGTTGACACCTACCATGAAATATCTATGACTAGGGCTCTCTTTCTTGGAAATGCATATATTCCCTCACGCGTGCTATTCGTGTTCATGGCCAATCATTCGGGTCACACCTTTTGATAAAGTCTTATATTCTTTATAAGGGACTCTCTCGGGAAATATGGCTTCACACTTCCCAACTTATATCACCATGGACAAGGGAAAAGCAATGGCTCTCACAACCGAAAGTTTGTCTAAAAAAGGTAAATCCAAGAATGCTCCTCGCCATGAACCAGAGAATTCATTGCTGGAGGGTTCATCTTCAGTTGATGGATCCACCGAGGTCTCAAGCCTATTTGAGTTTCTCACGCTTGTAAAGCTTGCGCCTCAACTCAAAAATGATGAAAAATACATGGCTACTTATGCTACTGCTGAGGCTCGTGTTAAGGCCGAACTGGATGACATGGAAAAACATGGTCTTTCAAGAGATTCTATGGGCACCAATCATGAGACAATCGTGGGAGAAGTATTCGCTTTTGAGGTTCGCAAGAAGGAATACCTTGATTATGCCCAACAGAAGAAGAACGCCAAGAAGTAAAGACTAGTGCTGCCATGAACAACGAGAGATGTAGTGACAGTGCTCAAAATCTTTGTCTCGTGTAATAAGACATCTCTCGGGTTATCTCATAAAGTTTCGTTGTATGTTGTGTTCATTAGACTTTATTTGTCTAATGGACCTTTCGTCTAGCAAAGTTCTTCTTGTTTCGGTTTTCAGTCGTACTTAAGAAGCTTCAAAATATATGAATCATCTGAACCGTTAACACGTTTCATCATGGGGATCGTATGGCCGAGAAAAGTGGTCCACTACCCCACGATCTCTGATAAATGAATTGATGTGCATTTAATGCATACGCAGGCACTTCAGTGGATTTCTCTCTCCACATTTATTATGGAATGATCAAAACTGATCTGAGCATGATCTTATCATACCCCAATAAACAGATCAGTTACCTTTTGAAGAATTGAACTGGTTGAGAATTTGAAATTCAAACTACCCATCACTAAAATGGGTCACCCGTATTTGTATACCCGAAACCCGAAGAAAACCCTACATAAACCTTGTTCATACCAACCCTCATCTCCTTTATGCACCCTCCATCTTAAATCTGCCTTTACACCTTCACTACACTCAAAACCTCTCAAATGGCGAACTCACCAAAAACTACCACCTCCGAAGCTGAACCTGAAGTGCCAACGACACTGGAGATACCAACCTTTCCCACAGACAACACCGCCTTTATTGAATCTCGGACTCCCTTCATTGCTGGAGGAAGCATGTGGGATGCGTATGGCTTCCTGAAGTATGTCATCGATCGAGACTTCGGTGAAAAGATCATCACCCGGCTTCAGGAAACTGGTTTGTATAAGTTTGCTGTACATCTGTATTCGTTCTGATTTCCTACAGATGTTGCACAATTCTACATGAATGCTTCTGTTTCTACGGATTCTCTCACCATAGCATCAAGAGTCAACAATCAAACCGTCACAATTACGTCAGAGGATATTAGGGCTGCCTATGAATTTCCTCAGAGAGATGAGTCATACAAATCCAATCTCGCCTTCTATCACTATGATCAGGATGATTCTTATGCTTCTATCAAAAACAAGCAAGCTCCAACTGCAATCAGATGGCCTTTGAAGAAGAAGTAATTCCTTTTAGATTCTTCAACAAGCTAGTCGACCACAAAACATCGGGGACAGACGATGTGACGAAAGAAAAGCTCAAAATGCTGCACGCATTTCTCCATGATCACAAGGTGGACTGGTCAAAAATTATCTTCAATAACCTCATACATGTCATCACTTTTAACAGAAAAAGCCTTGGAGATATTACGAAGAAAATAAGCTACGGGTTCATGGTTAGTCACCTCCTCTCTACAATGAGAATCCCTATGAGACCAGGAAACAGGCCTGGACCTAAGGCATGTCACATGCAGCACAAGCCCACTGGTTATGATAAGCAGAGAGCTTTGGAACTGGACATACCCTTGGAACTGGTCAAGGCTAAACGGAAGTCCAAAAAGGAAAAAGAATTAGAAGATGATTAGCCTAAGCCGAAACGACAGAAAAGGGAGGGAAGCTCGCTTCATGTTGAGACGAAAGCAGCTGTTGTTGAGAATTCGTCTCCTGCTCAAACAGCAAATCCAGAGGAAACGAAAACTCCAACACCACTAGTTCTATCCGAAGATCCGATAATTGTGGAACATTCTTCTGACGATGAAAATATCGCTCTCTCCGTTCTCGGTCAAAAAGGGCGAATTAGGTCTCCTGAAAAATTGAGCACACCTCTCTCGGCTAAGGAAGGTATCAGGACGAATGAAGAACCTTCCCTTAAAGAACACAAGACGAAGGAAGTACCTACTCAGGGGGAAGACAAGCCGAAAGAAGTAGATTCCCAGGGGGAAGACAAGGCGATAGAAAAATCTTCTCAGGGGGAAGATATGTCAAAAGAGGAAAACCCGAAAGCAGCCTCCTCCGAGAAGAAGTCTAAGGCATCATCCAGACGAAAAGCAAAATCCAAACCATCCAGGAAACGAAAGCACGGGTCCTCTTAAGAACCTCAAGATCCCATCTCTTCAAAAAGCCTCCAACCACAAGAACCCATATCAGCAGAGCGAACTTCTCCACGTTCGACACAAGAACCTGCTGTCATGGAAAAGGAGGTCAATCACTTAAGTCTCCCACAAGAACCTGGTTTGCCAGCAGAGACAAGAGAAGTGATTGTTAACACGAATGTTGCTGTTGTTCCCTATACCGAAAGCACCCTCCCACAAGAACCTACCCTTGCAGAGCAGGTACCAGATACTCTGACACAAGAACCTGGAAAGGTAGTTGAGGACAATCAAGTGATCTCAAATACGGTCATTGATCCGAAGGCAGTGATCACACCACCAGCTGTTGCACCCATCCCTCCATCTCCGGATTAATTACTTTGTGAGGCTATAGAGGCTGACTACAATCGAGTCATGCAGTGGCAGAAATGGCGCACAGCAGAAATCGATACTATGTTTGCAACAGCCGAAGCAATGAAGGAAGAAGAAAAGTTTGCCCTAAAGTGGGTTGGCACGAAAGATGTCTATGAAACACTTTGTCTTGAAACAATTCGATGAGTGTACTCATATAAAGTGACCAATCGCACTCTCGGAAAGGATAAGGCACCCTTATGTATCGAGCTCAATAAGCCTCCCTTGGGCCCAGTATTTGAAGCAGAAATGAAGGAGCTCCGTTATGCAATGCTCCTGTCCAAAATCAAGACTGCCTTAGAGAAATTGCACCAGAACGATCCCAATTGCGAAGTCAGTGGATCAAAGGACGAGAATGGCAAAGAAATAAGTGATGAATCTGATAGGGAGAAGGAAGATGAAGACGATGCAGCCACTGATGATGCTGATGCAGACGATGAGAATGATGATGATGACGATGCTGATGATGATGACAATCAGAATGGGGTAACACGAACAATCCTCATCAGGACCACAATGCCGCAAATCCCGAAGAATCATCATCACACAACTCTCCCTCCCGAAGTGATGACAAAAGGGAAGCATCACTCAAGGATGGCGAAACTTCACACACTCAACCTGAAGACTTATCTCGAGCTCTCGTCCCCCATGTCCAACCAATGGACGAAACTCCTATTAAGAGAGAAGAAGCAATCTCTCGTGAGGACAAAATGGATACCTCACCAGTCTTCATTATCTCAGCGAGTGGTGGAAAAATGGAAGCACCATCTCAAGCGGAACAAATGGACACCTCTCCAACAAATATTGAAGAAGAATCTCCACTAGTTTCTCCACATCATGTCATGAATCTTATGAGAGAAACTGTTCACACAGCTGAAATAATCCACCGAGAATACCTGACACTTCGCCAAAGGGACACTCAAACCTTGGAGGACTTATCTAAGAAGGTGGATCACCTGACGGCAGCTCAAGCCAGTCTCATCCTCCACCGCAAGAACAACCCCAACCACCACCACAAGCTCCACCCGAACAGCAATCTAATATCCACCTGGTAAAGGAACTCCATGAGCTTCATGCATCTGTCGACAAGGTGGCCAAGCAACACCAGGAACTCAAGCACTCACATTTTAGCCTCAAAGAGCGTGTTGATTTGGCTTGCACAAAGATGGAGACTGCACATGACAATTCTTTTCAAATGGGTCAGTATTTGTATCAAATTCTCGGATATGTGCAGGATACACTGATTGCAGTCACCAAGCTGTCTACACCTGCTACTACTTGTGCCGATGATGCCAAAATGGGGAAAAGAGAAACCCGGATGATACGGATGATGATCATTCTAGGGACAACACGAGAAAATCGTTCTCCATCTGTTGCACCGAAAGATTCTGAAAGAAGAAGCACGAATCCTCCGCCTCCACCTACCCGAGATCATCAATCCTCTCAGTCAAGATATCACTCATCTCGTGGTCGTGGTCATCAACAGTCACAATCCCAACACCACTCTATCAAGCCTCGCCAATCACTTGGATCTGAGTCCAAATACATCTTCACTGGTTTGTCAAAGAGACAAAAGACGTGTCTAAGACAAAGGCTTATGAAAGATAGGAAGGTAACAATGGATGGCGTGGGAAACTTTGTGGATTTCATACCATATGAAGAAGGAAATGGGAAGCGATTTGAAAGGTGCAACATCCTGTGTGGATGAAGACAAAGGACAACCACACAAGACAACATCATATAAGTTCTCAAAATGAAAGGATCAAAAGGATGAATAGAGAGCTATGGGAAAAACACGATGAAGAAGTTCGTAGAAGAGAAGAAGAACTTCAGCAAACAGGGCGAGTAAAAGAACTGATCAAAGATCTCACGAAAGTAACCCGAAGTTCTGAGCATGGAGTTATCTACAATGCAGCTTTCAAAGTACATGCCGAATCAGGAAAAAGCTACACAGAAGGAATGAATTCTTTCGAGCTTATCTCGTGGTGGAAATTAGGAATTGTTGAAGGAGCAAACATTCTTGAAGCCTATAACAACTACATAAGCCTCAACATAAAAGGAAAATACGAAGATCTGATTAGGGAGAATCAAATCAAAGTCTTCAGAAAATGAATCAATGAGGAGATTAACATCGACAGAATGCTCAAGGAGCAGAAGGAGAGAGACACTCGTGAAAAATTGGAGGCCAAGCAGCAAAAGACTAAACTTTTGGAAATGTAAGGAATTTACTTTCTGTCTATCTTAAATTTCTTGTAATTTTCTCTATCTTTATATGAAACTCTCGTTGTTACACATCTCATGTCACTTGTCTGAGTTACTTGTCAGTGTCTTGTTTGTTATTGTTATTTATCTAGAAATGACTTGTAAACTCTCAGTAATGGCTGTTTTGAAATAAAGAATCCTTTATAGGACTTTTATCAGCCTTATAAGAAGAGTATAGGTTTTGGCATCATCAAAAAGGGGGAAATTGTTAGGAACACTTGTATTAGGATTTTGATGATACCAATGTAACCTAGAATGTAGACCCCTAACCTTTGTTATTTGTTAATCGCTACTTTCGTCCTAGACGAGAGTTGCCATAACTCACACTGTAATTCGTGTTAAGCTAGTCAAACACACGAAAACGAGTTATGCTTAGATGTTAGGGCTATCAAGACGAAAGAAGGTTCAAGACACGAAGCATGAAGCGTCCACAACGAAAGATAATCAGGAGTTGTCATCTACCACGAAGAGAAAGTCTTATTTATGACAACCCTTCAAGACATTCTTCATTTTCAATAGCAAGAAGAATGTCTTCACTGTCTGATTTGACAACATCCTAGGAACAAAAAGGACCTCAACATATGCGACACGCATACCAAGGAGCATTAAATGAAGTTGTACTATTGTAGAGCTAAAAGACAAAACCCTAAGGCTATCCATGCCATCAACGGCTACAAGGTACAAAACCCATTAATGGAGCATTTAATGCGGGAAGCTCCCAGGTCCTTACCCACTGGATATTAGGTCTGAAAATCTCATCTCCCTCCAACGGATGGAATTTTCCTCACCTATATAAACCCACCTTCATCAACTAAGAAAGTGCTGGTTCTTATCACTCGATCTAACTATCAAGCAAAAGCTCTTAAACCTTCTCAGTTCTCATCAAGCTTTTGCGAACCAGTGTTAAAGTGTGAAGATATTTGAAAAGGTCCACTGATCCTCATCTTACACCTTGAAGAAGTCTTGCAACTTGTACGAAGCAACCATCTTACATCAGTCAAGACCTCACCACATTGGAGAAATCATAATTCATTTTCTACCAACCTCAACTCTGAAGAAGAATTTGATAGAGGCGGAGTAAACTCGTGGATTTGAAAAACATGCAGGAAGTTGTCCGGCTTAGTGATTAAGGAAGCCTCTTGTGTATTTGTGCTAACGAGTGATAGTGCAAACCTTCCATAAGTTGTGGAAGAAGAGTGTAGTAGGCAAAGTTGGCCGAACCACTATAAAAACTCTCGTCTCCTTATCTCTTTGCTTATTTCTTTTACTTCCTGCATCATACTATCCTTCACGCTCAAACCGAAAGTTTCCTCAATAACATCAAACCGTGCAAAGCAAGTAAAACGAATTCAACATTTCCGCTGCGCCATAACACCGAAAGGTTGTTATTCGGCAAAATATGAAAAGAGTTTATTCACCCCCCATCTAGACTCTCGCTATAACACTACCGGGACCAACAACGAGTATGTTTACTTTTTAAGTAATAATATATATAATTTTTGATAATTGTTATATGACAAAATAAATAAGAATACATAAATAAGTTATTTAGATACCAACATGATATACAAGAACTGAATTAGGAACATGCAGGAGGACATTAGATTTGGTTTTGAGGGAGAGAATGAAGATGTTAGCTAGAATAATGTAGTGGTTTTCTAAAAAAAAATGGAGTGTTGGAATGATGAAGAAAAAAGAAAACAAAGATCACATCAAGGCAAAGAGGAAGAAGACAAAAAAGTAATGGTAAAGTTGTTATTTCTTTAAAAATCAAGGCCAATTAAAATGAAGAAATAAATAAAAAATTAGATCAAAAAATTTCATCCATTAGATTTGAAATCAATGATAAGCAAGGGGTGCCATTTTTGAGGGGCAAATGGCAACTCCCAAATATAAGTATAGGGAAGATAATATATATATATAATTGAGTACATGTATTTTCGTAAAAATGTGTGAAATAATTTTAATTGTCTATTTCAAAGCATTAATTACCCTTGCGCAACTAGCTATGAAATGTAATAATAAGAAAAATAAATGGCATGAATAATAAATGGCATGTAATGAATATAGATGGATGGAGTGATGTGGTAGTATATTTGATTTGATTTATATATAATAATAATAATACGTGTTTGTACCTTCCATTGGGCGTCGCAATCTAATGCATGCCATTTATTCTTTGCCTGCCATTTATTGCATCACTCTCTATATATTCTTCCCATGACTCTCTATATATATCTCGTGGAGTGATGTGGTTAGTAGAACAAAACAAAGAGAAGCACAAGTTTGACAGATTAGATTTCAAAGAAATGGAGTGTAAATTTATATTATTCTTCTTCGTCATTTAACTCAACATTTTTACTGGTATAGTACCCTTAAGCTTTGAAGAAAATATTTTACTTAATTTCTTTAATTTATACAATAATCTTTCAGTTTTGTTTCTATTAGTTTGCTGATAACAAGGAATTTTTTTTCAAGATTACTTGTTAATCCAACACTAGTACAGAGTGATACTAGAGCTGGTAATTATATCAATCTATATATTCCTTATAGCTTTTAGGGTTCTAAACTTCAATTTCCATTTATTTAATTATTTTTTCATTAATTTTGTAATGTAATAATATATAAGACGCAACTCCATCTAAGTTGTCATATTAGTTATATGATCTACACCCGTTTCATGCTCTTTAAGTCTAACACCAAGATGTGTCCAATCCTTAAAACCTTCATTGACCAAAACAGATTTTCCTATACTTTTTTTTAAAAATCTTGCAAAAAAAAAAAAAAAAAAAAAAAAAAAACCTTGTTAGGTTCTTTTGAATATATAAGCCAATCTCGATCACACTTTTCTCCATCTGGCAAATATCGATCTTGTGTAAAATGCTTATGAAAATCTTCTAGAGAATTTATCTTTAGGACCTTTATTTATTGATAAGTCTCTTTTTGGACCACCTTTCACAAGAATATCTATTAATTTAGAATCAAGGGCATCCCAATTTCTTGGATCATATATGTCAAATAAAAGCGAATCATTTGGTTTATCACTGCGACCAACATCATCTAAACAACTATCAACATTCTTATTATTTTCATTGTCACAGTGATACCTGTTATCATTGTGCACATTATCATTTAAATTCTTTCCAATCTCACAATCATCTTGATCTTCTATATGAAGATTAGCATCTAACAATTTTTCCTTGACATCATCGTTTTGCTCATCTATTTGAGTTTTTTTTTTTTTTTTTTTTTTTTTTTTTTTTTGTAATAAAATTTTAAAGAGCCCCCTTTTGAGATTGAGTTAGTTGCTCAATTCTTCTTTTCTTTTTACGCTTCTCATCAAACCCAGATGAATATTTTCTAGAAGACATAAAATCCTAAGGAAAAAATGACAATTTATTTAGAAACTCTATGAATAAATAATTAATCAAGAAACGAATTCTTGAATATATTATTCTGAAATAAGACTTATTAAGTCATGTAAATAACACAATAAACAAGAATTGTAAAATAATACGTAATTTTAAATCACCTATCAAGAGAATTGAAGAACTTGAGAGTTTGAGAATTGAAGAATCAGTGTCACACGAGTAGAATCTGTCGTCTTTCCCAAATTTGAATTACCTAATCTAGTTCAAATACACAAACATTCAAATTAAAAAATTTCAATATTTGAATTAATTCAAATACCTAGAATTCACAAATAGCACCCTCAAATTAAAAGGATAAAAGTTCAAATACCTAAGCTGCTAGGCAGTAAGCAATTTGTTTTAGTTTTGTCTCTCGTAAGTCT